TCAACGAAAGAAAGACACTCTTGCTGATTAGGAATGGAAAAGAAAGGTCCATGTCCTTCTAAAAATCCATTATAATAGTTAAGGAATAATTACTATTCTGCCCTTCAATAATATTAGATTTTCGAAATTGCCATTGGTCGTCATGGTCGTCTTCACATTTCTATATAATAGAAATATATATATATAGTAGAAGAAAAAAAATTGTTGGTAAGGATATGAAGCGTTAAAAAATTATTTAAAGCATGAATGGAAATTTCTAGAGAAAGATAGTTTGGCATTTATATTTGATATTTTTGCCACGTGGAAAGAATTTGGGGACAAGTACAATTATAACAAAAATTAAATTAAAAAATATTTTGTAAATAACAAATATACCCTTAAAGATCTTTCTAGATCTAGTCCCCTTAGATATCCATCTATTATGCTTCTTCATCTTCTTTTTTTTTCCAAACATGCACCCTCTTATTGTTGTTGTTTCTTCATCTAATTTTACTTTCTTGATGAAACATGAATGTAAGGTTAAATTTTTGAAACAAATGGTTAACAAGGTAAGAAAAATTATGTGGATTAGTGCAGATGAGATTTTTTTAATGAAACAAGGCCACTCACTTTCCCTGCAACTCCAAACAATTCCTTCTTTCTCTTATATTTCTATCCCTCAATCTCTAACTATATTTTTTCCTCCAAAATTATGAAAATGTTTGTCCATTTATTATTTCCTACAAAATATAAATTGGGTGAATTGATGTAGACATTTTTATGGATATTGATTATAACTACAGTGTGATATTCGAATTGAGGGACATGTTCATATGGTCTTGAACAACAACCTTAATATGAAAGAACAAGAAAGCATTTGAGAAATTTGAAAGAAAAAACATATCTTGTATTACTATTGAAAATGAAAATTGATGAAAGAAAAGTCATACCTTGTATTACTTCTGAAAAAAATGAAAATTGAAAAGAACTTTTTAATTTAGTTTTTGGTCAAGGAAAAATAGAGACTCTTGCTGATTAGGAATGGAAAAGAAAGGCCATGTCCTTCTAGAAATCCATTCTAATAGCTAAGGAATAATTACTATTCTGCCCTTCAATCATATTAGATTTTCGGAATTGTCATTGGTCATCCGGTCGTCATCATGCTTCTATATAATAAAATAATAAAATAACAATAACAATAATAATAAAGCCAGAACACATAATTTAGTAGATGGACTACTTGCACATGAATTTAGTAGAGATAAATTTTTTAGGAGATAAATTTTACTACTTGTAAAATTATATTTATGATTTACAAAGGATAATAGTAGAAAAAATATTATTTAAATTATGTCCATAAATGTTTTATTAATAAGTGTGCATTATTTCAAAAATTCAGTTAATATGAAATAAAAGGAGTAATATTTTTATAGAAAAATTTAATTGCCTAAAACATGTCATTAGAAAATTTAAAATTAAACTATGGTAAAAAAATGGACATTAGTAGTATTTATAAGTTACTAAAAAAAGAAAGACAACTATATGAAAACACGGAAAAAGTAAACAAAAAGATTTCAGTTTTTTCGTTTCGACTATAACAAGGATTTGGAGCTTTTTTCCTATAAAAAGCGACTCCCTCTATTCTCTCTTTTGTATTTCGAAAGATTTCTGAAAGTTAACAAACTTTACCAGTTTACAGCAATCGCAATGAGTTCTTCCGTCGTGGAGGGCGGCGCGTCGCTCCGTTCGCCGGGTACTGACGCTACAAACCGCCGTGTTTCTTACTTCTTCGACTCTTCCATCGGCGAATATTATTACGGCCAGGGTCATCTAATGAAGCCTCACCGTATTCGTGTTGCCCACAATCTTATTTTAAACTATAATCTTCACCGTAAGATGGAGATAATTCAACCGTTTCCGGCGACTAAGGAGGAAATCGGATGGTTCCACTCGTCGGACTATGTGGAGTTTCTCTCTTCAGTTTCTCCGGAGATTGTTAATGATAAGTACGATTCCTACCAGCGTAGACGCTTCAATGTCGGTCCGGATTCGGAAAGCTTTGACTGCCCTCTTTTTTATGGTCTTTTTGATTTTTGTCAAACTTCAGCTGGTGGCTCAATTGGCGCCGCCGCTAAGCTTAATCGGAATGAAGCTGATATAGCTATCAATTGGGCTGGTGGGTTGCATCATGCAAAGAAAAGTGAAGCTTCTGGATTTTGCTATGTCAATGATATTGTTCTTGGAATTCTAGAACTTCTCAAGGTCCACAAGGTAAATACTATATACTCTGTTTTTATTACTGTAAATATTTTCATGAGTATTCATGTTAGCTCTGTTTTTCTCCGTTTCGCTCATATTATTTGTTCCGCAAGTAATATATCAAAGGCTGTTTTTTCCCTTGAAAAACTCGAGCTATTTGTGTGTTATTGAGAACTGTTGCTTACTTGATCGAAGGCTAGGCTCTATTTGTTCTTAGGTGTGGGGCTTTTATTTGTTCATATTGTTGTTGAGTCTGACTTGGATTGGCGTTGATGTATATTAAAAAACGAAATTTTGAATGTGCTTCTATCATTTGAGTTTGTAAGCAATATGTTAATAATGGTCTTGAGGATGTAGAAAAGGATTATAGACATTGTCGATTTCAGTATAATTTAATGTATTGTTGTCTGTAAAGAAGTATTACTATATTATTTTCTGATATTTTGTTGATTAGGTCATACTTAATTGGATGGACCTAGTAATTTGGAGTCCAAAATACTTAAAAATCGGAACTTAGTTGATCACTGATATGATCTCAATAATTGTTGTTAATTGTGTATAAGTGTGATTTGTAGGCCATAGCTGGATAACATCTTTTGCCTTTGCCAGGAGAACTGCTTGTTACAAACTATTGTTTCTTTAACATGCTCATTGTTGTTGTGCAGCGTGTATTGTATGTAGACATTGATGTTCATCATGGGGATGGAGTTGAGGAGGCTTTTTACACCACTGATCGGGTTATGACAGTGTCTTTTCATAAGTTTGGAGACTTCTTTCCTGGTACAGGGCATGTCAAAGACATTGGTGCAAGTACCGGGAAGTACTATGCCTTAAATGCACCATTGAATAATGGTATTGATGATGAAAGTTTCCGTAGTCTATTCCGTCCTGTAATCCAAAAAGTGATGGAGGTTTATCAACCTGAAGCTGTTGTTCTTCAATGTGGTGCTGATTCACTAGCAGGAGACAGGCTGGGTGTCTTTAACTTGTCTGTCAAAGGCCATGCAGATTGCATTCGATTCCTCAGGTCTTTCAGTGTCCCTTTAATGATGTTGGGTGGTGGAGGTTATACTGTTAAAAATGTTGCTCGGTGCTGGTGCTATGAGGTGAATCTCTATTTCTCCGTTTTGGTGGTTTTTCCTATCTATGCATTTTCACCTATTACCTTTTACTTGTCTTATAAGTTGTTGTGCTAAGTTTGAACTTCTTCAATGTTTACAGACAGCAGTTGCAGTTGGAGTAGAGCCTGATAATGATTTGCCTTACAATGAGTTTTACGAGAATTTTGCCCCTGATTATATTCTTTATCATGAATCATTACCCATGAAGAATGAGAATTCGCCCTCGGAACTAGAGATGATCAGGTAATCTGAACATCATTCTTTTAGGGCTTGCTGTTAGTGAACTGTCAGAAAATAATGTCTAATAATGTTCGAATCTTTGTGAAGCATTAGCGAGTGTGAGATGATGTTATTTAACATGAATAATTGGTGGGTGCAGGAACACTTTGCTGGAGCAACTCTCGCGTTTACCCCATGTACCTAGTGCTCCATTTCAAGTGACACCTTCTGTAACGGTAGTTCCAGAAAAGGTCAGAACTAGTTTATCTTCAATATCATTTGAGTTTCTATGTATATTATCCAACCTGATCCTCATTTAACAATTTATGTATCCAGGAAGACGAATATATGGATCAAAGGCCTAAACCAGGGATACAGATGAGCCAGGATTACGATACTGATGATGAGGAGAAGTCAAATAACGGAAAGTTCAGTAATTACTACAATTACTTCAACAACGAGAACTGACATGAGGTAAGGCCATCAAGTTATCTTCTACACACACTTGAAACAACCATCCCATGCCTGCTAATTCGAACCTAAATCTCTTTTTTTGTTTCTTTTGGAACCCATGGGGAAAACTGCAACCACTATTGTTTGGGTGCGCACTGAGTGAATCCGCTCCTCCGATTTTCCTATGAAGTTTTAGTTCCCTTAGAAATTGCAGTATAATTTGCTTTGCTTGAAACTGAATTGTGGTGTGGTTTGTAATGCAGGTTACTTTCAGTACAAAGTAAAAAATGAGGACATGATTTGATTGGAGGCCTCTGAGACTAAGCTGTTCAACATGTGTCTATTAACAAATTTTCTGTTTAGTTAGGATGAGAAATGATAGAAACTCATAGTAAGATGTTATTTGTAGTGATGTAATTATAATATACATTATAACTTTGTCTATTTGGTGAATAGAGATATGAGCATATACTTAAAGTTATTCGAGAAAATGAGCAACATACTCGTTTACCATTTCAATAAAAGAAAATAATAATATCTGGTGTGTTGTTTACAAATTTCTCATGTTTTAAAATAAAAATTCTGGTATTTTTTTTTAGATGCAACTAAAAGTAAATAAAGTTATAATGGTACAAAATCACTCTATGTAGCACACAAGATCTATATGCTAATAGATACCCGAGAGACTGAATCCCCGAGGAGAGAGAAAGGACACATTACACCTAAAAAACGTGCAACTAACCTTTTCCATTCCGTTTTCTTCCGTGAAATCTAATCTCATAGAGTTCAATTTTCATAATCTATGTACCTTATAAGTTCGAGGCTTCCTTCGTAACTCGGGGAACTGTTTAAGGTATATTAGTCAAGCGAGAGATTTTACTAATTCTTAGAAACTGGGGTATAAAGTATAAATCAAAGTTCAAACTCTACATAATTTTTACAAAAAAAAATAATAATAAAAAATTGAAATGTGCTGATGTTCATCCCCTTCAACTCCCTTCTTGCTCAACTGTCAAAGCTGAAGCTTCCAATCTCAAGAACCAAAGAGCTTCACGCTTTCATAATCAAGACTCATCTCTCACACGACCCATTTTACGCTACAAGAATTATAAGATTCTATGCTCTAAACAACGACATCATCTCAGCACACAACCTGTTTGATAAAACTCCTCACCGAAGCATTTACCTCTGGAACTCCTTAATTCGAGCTTATGCTAGAGCCCACAAATTTAGAAATGCATTTTCGCTGTTTAATGATATGCTTCATTCTGAAATAATGCCTGATAATTTCACTTATGCATGCCTTGTAAAAGCCAGCTCTGAGAATTTTGATTTGCACAGCTTAAGAGTTTTACATGGAAGGGTTGTTCTATCTGGGTTGCAGTTGGATTTTATCTGTAGTAGTCAACTGGTAAGTGCTTATTCAAGATTAGGCTGTATAGCTGATGCAAGAAAGGTGTTTTCTGGGATAGCGGGGCCGGATTTGGTCCTATGGAATTCAATGATATCAGGTTATGGGGGTCTTGGGGAATTGGAGAAGGGGATAGAGTTGTTTAGTGAAATGAAGATAATGGGGGTGCGGCCTGATGAGTACTCAATGGTAGGCCTGATTATGACTATAGATGATCCCAGTGTGCTGAATATAGGTGAAGCAATCCATGCATTTTGTTTAAAACTTGGTGTAGAGTCGAATGATCATGTAAGCAGTCTTCTTGTTAGTATGTATTCTAGGTGTAAATGTATGGGTTCAGCATTTAGCGTCTTTGATAGTCTTGTAGAACCTGATTTAGTTACATGGTCTGCTTTAATAAGTGGTATTTCGCTGTGTGGGGATAGTGTCAAGGCCTTGGATTTCTTCAGAGAAATGAATATGAAAGGTGGGAAGGCAGATGCATCACTGATTGCCACTGTACTGACTGCTTGTTCTCAGTTGGCAAATGTGCAGCCAGGCATTGAGACACATGGTTATGCATTTCGACATGGATATCACTCGGAAGTTATGGTCTCCTCTGCTCTACTTGACATGTACTCGAAATGTGGGTTCTTGGAATTGGGATATCAAGTTTATGAGACTATGGTTTTCAAGAATATTGTTTCATACAATTCAATTATTTCAAGTCTTGGTTTATATGGACTTGCATCTCAGGCCTTTGAGATATTTGAGAAGGCAGTGGAGGAAGGGCACAAACCTGATGAAGCTACTTTTTCTGCACTTCTTTGTGCATGTTGCCATGCTGGTCTTGTCAATGATGGTCGGGAATATTTCAGAAGAATGAAAGATCAATTTTGCATCTCAGCTAACACCGAACATTATATTTACATGGTAAAGCTTCTTGGAATGGAAGGACAATTAAGAGAAGCTTATGAACTTGTTCAGTCTCTGCAAGAACCAATTGACTCTGGCATTTGGGGGGCACTATTATCATGCTGTGATGCTCATAGAAATTATGAGGTCGCAGATATTGTAGCTTGTCGTCTTTTTGGGAATAAGCTAGAGAATAATAGTTACAGAATTATGCTTTCAAATATGTATGCTAGTGATGGGAGGTGGGATTTGGTAAATAAGTTGAGAGTAGATTCTGGATTAACAAAGTTGAAACTTCCTGGAAAAAGCTGGATTACTAGTAAAAAACATTCCTTTGAAAGGAACTCTTGAGGTGTCTTCTGCGACATCTTTCACGAGTTAACAGTTGCTGAATCTAGGATCAGAAGCTGCGAGAGGAGGTAGGATCAATCTAATTTCCTTGTCATGAAGGGAAATTTTATCATGTAATTCCATAACAAATAGAAAAAAAAGATAGTTTGACCCATTCTGCACCTGAACATGATTCTTACAAGTTATGGAAGGTTCATCTCCTCACTTCTGTGTCTTCTTCCACAAAAAAGTTTTACCATGAATAATTCATGATTGTTAAAAACATGATGTTAACAGACGGTTAAGGCATGATAACTGAAACTTATGTAAAGCTAAAACATACAAGAACAGCTTACGATCTTTGTTGTTCTGCACTTCGTTGATCAGTTATGTAGTCCTTAGGAAATGGATGACGAAGACCTTTTTTTTCTTTAGGTCTCTGTTCTGTTATGAAAGTTCAATCTGCATGATTTCAAACTGGTGGCCACTTGACTGCTCAAGAATGGTGGCAAATCATTTTCATCACACAAGTGTGTAGAATGCAGCCATGGAATGTTTAGGTAAAATAGAAGAAACCAGAAGTTTTCCTCTTCTTTCTTTTTTCCTTTTGAGAGCCATGGAAACCTCTCTCTCTCTCTCTCCCTCTCCCAACAATCATATTTAAGAGGCTTCTCCATTCTTCTAAGAGAGATAGAGAGATAACTAGGGAGTTACTGCTGTTTGTTCGCTGTTCCGGAAAGACTGCTTCATTTTCCTCGCTTTGTACATTGGTGGAACTATGTGTTGAAGCATTTATGCATCTGAGGTTTTTGTGGCTTTGAGACCACTGGCTTGTTTGTTACTCTTTACCCTTTAATCAGAAAATCTGTGGATCATCCTAAAGCTACAGTGTTAAAGTTAGGTCAACGTCTATTACTTCCTTCGTTTCACCATAAGTTCATGGTTACATAGAATCAGTACTCAACTGTGAATGACAATTAAACTTTTCCCACCTTCTCTTCAATTGTTCGCAAAATTATCTCTGCTGTTACGAAAGATTTTATTAAGGATACTTGGAATTCTCAACTTTGCTGCATGAATATTATTCTCCCCGGATAAAAAAAAAGAAAAAAGAAATCATGATGTTGTGTTTCTGATTTAATAGGTATGTTGTACAGGTTGTTGTAATGTCTCACTAAATGTTGTTTATTTGGAGTGTGGATTAAATCTGAGCTGTTGCATAGTATGAAGGAAGTTATTCCGTTGAACAGATTTTCTGTGCATATGTTTGGAAGAATAATCATCCTGCTAACAGTGCTGCATCATGTGTAACGCGCTATGAAATGATTCTATTAAGAACTTCTTAAGAATTGTTGTAGGTTTTCATAATTTGAACAAGTATGTGCACTATGGATATTGACATCTTTTAGACCATTAACATAAGTCATCGAAAAATGTCTCTAACATGAGGCAAGAAGTACATTGTCTGCAGGCTCGGTTCTCCCCGGTGCAGTCATCATGTGTTTCATAGTCTTCTATCAGAAGTAGTAGAGTTGTGTTTGCATGCTTCAAGACTCTGAAGGACAGGCAAAGTTTCTTTTGTAAATATGGTATGATAAATTGTGGTATCAACTGAAATTCCTCTGAGGCCAAACATTATACAAGGCATTTATAAGTAGAGATGTTTAACTTAAAGAGCCGGAGAGTGGAATAAGTAGGAGTTGAAATGTTAGAAGTCATATTCAGGACTGGTTCTCACCATCAGTGCATTTAGTCTATGAAACAAGACCTTTTTCCTGACCAATTGTGTTCTAATCACTGCACCTTGATTCCTATTACATTCTATCAATTATATCGATCAACTTTAGCTCAATCTCAAACTAGTTGATCCTTCCACGTTTTATTGCCACTAAATTTGAACAATATATGCATGTGTAAATAATTTGTGGGAGTCTTTTGGTGTGTAATCCATCCCATTGTCAATTGCTATAGCTACATCTTTGTTGGCATTCTCGGTCTTTTCCATGGCAGTGTGTTAAATCTTCGCTAAACTTCATTTATGTTAATTGAACTTTTGAAATTTTTTAAGATTCAAGTATTTGAAATGCATTTTTCTTCAAGTTGCTATACTTGCTAAAGGAGGCCAAGTGTGCTAATAGATGATATGGGTGTGTAGCTATTTGATATAGTTAAAGCAGGCTGTCATTTTTATTATATGATCAGTTGCTCAGTCAGTAATGGAATCCTTACCCCTAGATGCAATTTTAGTGTTCTAACTGATTGCTATCTAATGTTGCATAAACAAACATTTGCGCTGAGGTTTTAGAACTCTTCTAAAATGCACACTTTTAAATGTATTAAAACGCACATTAGCTGATTTATAAAAACAGTTTTATAAGATACCGTGCGTCAATGACACTTCTGAATAACTTTGCTAGTTGCATCACTAACATATTTTTCTTTCATTTTGTGGGAGGGACTTGATGTTTGAAGGCTTGAAGAAATCCTGGATCATAAATTCAGTTGCCCGACAAATTTGCTACTTCAAGTGAAAGGTATCACAGGTTAGAAACAGCTCTCCTACATAAGCAGGACAGCTAGTGGCTTCTGTTTGTTCGTTGTTAGCTTTGTGCATCAAATTGGTTGCTTCTCAAAGACCCAAAATTATTTATAATAAGGTTAAGAAGAAAACATTATGGCAATGCAAAGCATCAAAGCTAAAGTTAATATTTGATATTGTACTTATCCTTCTGCAAAGTGGTACCTATGCTGCTTGTGTGAGATCCTTGTAACAGCCTCTTGAACCCTGGAAAACAACAAGTTATAAGAATTATCAGTATGCAAGCGTGTAGCATTTAATTAAAAAATCTTGAAGTCCGATTAGAAGTTTTATTGCCACAGAAATATTGAATTTATCAAAGGAAAATGGCCTAAACTGTCAAATTGTGTTAAAGCATTTACTATTTCTTTCGTTTTACACTCGTGTAAGTTGTTACCACTTTACTAAATGGTTGTACTTATCAAGTGCTCTTTTTACTGCTTTCTTTGTGTCGATTTCTGTAGAAGTATAGCTGTAGTTCTTTTCTGGATGAGAGTATTATCTACACTTTCATTCTTGTAAAGAAAATTTTTCTAACCATGTGTCAAGGCCAGCTTTTATGCACCTCGACTAATTCCACGGGATATCTTCTACCTCCCATCAACAATAGGTACTACATAACTCTGTCCACCAAGGCTAGGTCAGATGAGAAGAAATCACCTAGTGTTTTTGTATTGTAAATGACATTTCTTTTAAATGATTTTTATATGGTAATAATTGGAAGAATTATTTCATTTCATTAACTACCTAGTTAACCAAATCATTGAGGCTTCTCCATCATGTTCTACTGTCATTTTTACATTGGATTTGCACTTACGTTTGCTTCTCAAGTAACAATGATGATGAGTTACTGATGATTGGGAGGAAACTTGCAATTGCACGCTCACGCACACACTCTTGATTCAAGTTACTGAATATTTATCACTCTGATGAAGCTATTATAAAACATCATAGCATTTTTCTTGCTTGTGCTTTTGAAGTTGTTGACGTAGTTCTTCGTGTTTACGTTTGCTTACTGAGGCAAAACAGGAGTAGTGTGAGCTTCTAATCAAATGATTGGACTGAAATCAGGTCCCTAGTTTAACTATTAGTAGGGTCATTTGTGTTTTTTCTTCAATGTTTTTTTTTCGTCTGTTTCCTTTTTTGGAAGTTACTGTTTGATTAGTTAATTCATACTTTACTTTATTTTAAAATTGATTGATGAACCAAAATAATCTGGAAGAGATTGCATGATTGTTGGAACAGAAATATTCTTTTTTTTCTAGGATTCAGAACCTGTAGAGTGCTAGTTTTGAACTCCTATATGGCACTTGAAAGCAACCTTGACCTTGAGGCTCTGAACTGAGTTAAGAATAGGTGAAATGATTAGCTGGAGAGGCTACCTCTTAGACTAATGTATTCACTGTGTGACTTACAAGTGTTAGGCAAAATAATACTCTAGTACATAGGTTAGGCTATTGATTGCCAAAAACAAATTGTGTAACCTTGGGGATGTAGACCTTGTGTCCTTTTCATCTTCCTTTTGCCCTTTAATTTGAGCTGTAAAAACAGTTTGGGTGATGTTAGGACTTAGGAATAGCAAGTTGCAATTATCAGCAGGCAGCTACAAAAAGGAAGTGGGGGCTCTGTCTCCCAGCAAACCATTGTTTTCGCGGAGGACATTATTTAGTGGTCAACGAAGTATGTTGAGATCATGAGGTCTTAAGTGGTATACAAAACACTAGGTGATTTCCTTTTCTCATTGCTCCAAGCCTTGGTAGACAGAATTACTCGGTCTAGTACTTGTTCCTCTTAGGTATGTAGTTGTTTCGCTCTCTCTCTCGCTCCCTTTTTCAAATTCACAACTTGTAGCTACACTAGCCATGTTCCATGACTAAAACCTACTGAATTATTAGGCTAGCCAAACAAGTTTCACTGTGTGTAAAGCCTATATCTTCAAAATTCCAACTAGGAAATTATTATGCTCGAGTCCATTTTTGTGTGTTACTATGTTGAAAAGAGAACTGTGTGCTTTGACATTGTGAAAAAGTATGAACTGTTGATGATGTTCCTAACTCTCATATCTTGACTCTACTTTTAAAAAAAATTAATGCATAATTAAGATATAATCTTGCTTGTGGAAGATAGAAAGTACTCTCGTAGAATAGTTAAGATGTGTTTAAGCTGACTCTGACACCATCGTCTTTAAAAAAAAAAGTGAGCATAATTAAAGATTTACCCTACATCAAAATAATACATTTTTTGTATAAAAATACACATTCAAAACTCAACTGACTTATATTTGTGAATTGGTGGGACAACAAATCAACTAAACTACCTACTGTTTTTTAATTTTATTTTGAAGGATAGCGTAGAAAAATGTTCATTATATCTGTGCAATCTAAAGTGTCATTTCTTGATTGAAAATATTTTCTTGTTATTTAATCTTTGTGTCTCTATTCAATCATTTAAGATGAATCTAGTATTTCTCATAATGATTATTTGTTCATCATCAGTCCCTTTGTATTAAACAATGTACTAGAATTTTGGTT